ACAAAGTTCCTTGGAAATGAATTGTCTCACATCCAAATAACTGTTGTTAGAACAGCATGCAATGTCTTGACTGAAAACTTTTCAACTATCTGAAAACAAAATAACAACATGTAACGTTGTGATCTGCTTCCTTAGGCAGAAACAAGTATGGTAACATTAATGCCCTTAAGATAAGGACCTCAAAAGATAACACAAGGCACAGGCTGGCACTTTAGCTTTGTAAAATTGTATATGTAAAACCTAGCATTTCAGGCAACATTTAAGTTAGACAACATTTAAGTTGGACACAATATTTATTTTATACTATGGGAACAACTGTGGAAAGTAAATATAAGATTTACGGCATGCTATACGTTAAGAGAGAACTTTATGAGGGTGGTATCGAAGACAACGACCAATTAGCAAAAATGTAAAAATCAATAAAGGGCAACTTTTGGAAGTGTAAAACAACATGTGGTGGTTGTGTAGCATAATTAAAAAGCATTGGGAAATGATTTATATTGAACTTTTAAAAATGTTTTTAAAATCTTTTGCTAAAAACCCAGAAGCACTATTGCTGGGGTTAATAACAACAGAAGTTTACAATAAAGAAATAAAGTTGTTTTAATATGCTACAATGGTCAGCCATGTATTATTAGCACAAAAATGGAAAACAGATAAAAGTGCCAACAAAAGAAGACTGGCATATTAAACTGTTAGAATATCTGGAGTTAGCAAGGATGACCACTAGAATAAGAAACCAAAATGATGAAAGATAGAAAGAAAATTGAATACTATTTATAGAATATATGGGAAAGTAGTATAAGCAAACAATTTACTTAGCAAGATGGTAAAATTTTCAGCAGAGTAAGAAATAAATAAAGCATATAAAATGGTTGCGAAAGACAGGATGAACTTAGAAAACACAAGGAAAAGAGGGGTTAAAAGGAACCGTGAAAAGAGAGGATAGGAAGTCAAGAAATGTTTTCTGGTTTTTTGTTGATTCTTTGAAAGGAAAGATTTTTCTTGTTGTATCAATTTTATTCATGTTTTGTTAATGTAGAATGTTATCAGAAAAACAAAAAACCTAGCATTTTGAATTCTGTTTGCATTATGTATTTAAGACTATATCTTGCCACTGGCCCAGAACCTGTAATTCAGAACTGCAAGATTTTGTTCTCTGAAATCAGATAAACATTTTTACATTATGTAATAATGCTAACTTTCCCCGTTATTTCAATTTTCAACCTGACGTACGTTTTTGGAAGTTTGTTTCAACTTTGAAAAAGGGCTACTATTATTTTTACATGTCATCCTACAGCCTGCTGCAGAAATTTAAGTCAATGTTTCCCTCACATGGAGGTAAGTGATAGAAAAGGCTTCACCTGCGATGTTTCCAAATTTTGGACTCCTGTTAAAGGCAAAAGAACACACACAAACACAGTAGCAAATATATTTGAAAGACACCTTCTCCCCAACCATGGCTGTACCTTTTTCAGCAGTTCTTGAGCCATCTAAACATTCTGTCACATGCCAATGAGGTGTTTGCATCAACAACAAAGAAAACGGCATCTGGCAACTTGGGCAATGTCCTTCATAAACTGGACGAGCTTTTGAAGGGGTTTGCTTCTTGCAGTTTTTCTTTTGCTTTGATGATGTCAATGAGATGCCTTCATGTGACTGTGTAGCAGGGTCATCATTAGGAACACCGACATGTAGATCTGGTTTTAAAGGTGTTTGGCTACTTCTTTGCCTTGGTCCCTGCTTTGTCATCTTCGAAGTCTGTTTTTCTTCTGATGTTTTCCTATTGCCATGTCTTTGTGACTTTCCACCATTTGCCTTATGTACATTTGTACAGATAGCTTCTGAATTCTGGTCTACTGACTTTAGCTTCCTAACAGATTTGTACTCCCAAATGTCTTCCTCCAACAGGCTAACTTCAGACATGACAGCTCAACAACATACAAAATATCTTCTTCAGATTTAATAGTATTGTAGCATTTTAAAATATGTGTATTGTTTTCTTCTACTACACTGGATTTTATCTCCTTGTTGTATATGACAAAGATAACCAAACACAATTTTAAAAAGCTCAGGTTAGGTTTAGTTCAATAAATTACATTTAAACATGAAACTAAAGTGCACTTAGAATAGTAGAAAGTCTCTCTCTTCTATCTGTGAGGTAAGTCATCTCAGTTTATGGGACGTTTGCTTAGGGTACTCTGGAACAGTACAATTGACTTCTTTGTTTCCCTCTATGATTCTGAAATAAAGAACAACAAGAAGAGGCAAAATTATGTCTAGTCCCTCACTTAACACAGTACGACATATCCTGAGAAATGGCCATGTTATGTCTAAATCAGCAAAACCAACTGTCTTTTGGCTATTTAAAGTTCAATAACTGAAAATTAGAGTTAACTTTAGCATGAAATTGCTGGATTATAATTTATCAGGCAATTTCATTCCATATTAATTGAGACCAGGGATTTTATAGATGTTAAATTAGCACTGCAAAACTAAGAATTACCGTATTTTTTGCTCTATAAGACTCACTTTTTTCCCTCCTGAAAAGTAAGGGGGAATGTGTGTGCATCTTATGGAGCGAATGCAGGCTGTGCAGCTATCCCAGAAGCCAGAACAGCAAGAGGGATTGCTGCTTTCACCGTGCAGCAATCCCTCTTGCTGTTCTGGCTTCTGAGATTCATAATATTTTTTTTCTTGTTTTCCTCCTCCAAAAACTAGTTGCGTCCTGTGGTCTGGTGCGTCTTATAGAGTGAAAAATACAGTATTACTGCTGTGACTGATTATTCTGGCTATTGAGTATATGTTTTGAGTTGTGAATAAAAATTGCTGTGGCAACCTTAACCCAGCTAACTGTCAAGAAACTCAAAACCTGTTCAGTAAAAAATAGGTACAACACTTCAATCTATCTGCAGTTTGAAGCATACTATCTGCATACATATCCTATGGAGAACAACAAATCTTGCATCAAAATGAACATGTTTAGGATCAGCATGTAAATTTCAGAACAACCCCACATTTTCAGCTGCATGTTTGCAAATCTCATTGTGTTAAACAGAATTAAACTAATTTTCAGTAAAAATGTACATTTATTCCTTTCTATCCCTTTGGAAAACAAGTAAAGGTAAAAGGACCCTGACCATTAAGTCCAGTCGTGTTCGACTCTGGGGTTGCGGCGCTCATCTTGCTTTACTGGCCAAGGGAGCCGGCGTTTGTCTGCAGACAGCTTCCAGGTCATGTGGCCAGCATGACTAAGCCACTTCTGGCGAACCAGAGCAGCGCACGGAAACGCCATTTACCTTCCTGCCAGAGCGGAACCTATTTATCTACTTGCACTTTGATGTGCTTTTGAACTGCTAGGTTGGCAGGAGTTGGGACCGAGCAACGGGAGCTTACCCTGTTGCAGGGATTCGAACCGCCAACCTTCTGATTGGCAAGCCCTAAGCTCTGGGGTTTAGACCACAGCTCCACCCACCCCCGCTTGGAAAATAGGTACTCATAATCAAATGTTTCGACCTCATTGTGAGCTTCTATTTACAGCATTTTGCAGGCAGGGGCTTGTTTTAAGCACAATACACCACCACCAAAGAGGGAAGAGAGCTCACGGTACTTATTACATCTCATTCTGTATCTGTGCATCACAACTGAAAATTTGACAGGGCACCAGCTTTGAAGGCTGACTCGAAAAAGACAGTAGCCTAAACAGAAGATAGGATTTTTCTTCTTCCTTTCTCCATTCAAGGGTTGCTGTTGTTTTATTCTGTTTGTCTTCAAGCCCTGGCCCAACAAAAAGAACCTCATGATGTCAGCAGATCAAAGTGCGTGCACATTAACACGCCTAAAAGAATTATGGGCACTGTAGTTTGCTAAGGGCTGCGGGAAATCATTACTGGGCGAGGGGTGAATTACAGCACCCAGAATTCTTTGAGGCGGGGGAAATGTGCTTTGAGTGTGTACTCAGCACAACTCTGTTTCCCAAGGCAGAATTATGCAAATTAACTCGACTGCATATGTGCCCCTGTTTTACACGTAAAGGGGAGGGGGAAGAAATCCCCTGACATCTACTCAGTCAGAAGGAAAGAAGCAGCAGTGGCAAGCGCCGCCTTTGGCTTTTGGACTCCCTAGTAAGCCATGAATGACCGCTCTGCTCAAGGGGCACGATTCTGACTCAACTCAGCACCTGGCGCACCAGAAAACAGTGCAGGATACTGCCCTCCCTCGCCTTCTCACACCGAGCAAACAGCCCCCCACCTCCGCCCTCACTCACACGTTTGACAGCAGCGCCAAAGGCAAGCCTCCCATTCTTTCCTTCCTGGTCAGCTTTTGCCGCCTCTCTCGCGCCGCCTACTTTTGCTTCTGGAAAGTAACGCCGTTTACCGCCCTGCGCTTTCGCCAATGTCCACCCCCGGCATTCTGCTTGCTTTTAAAGAAATTGACAACACCACCCTCTTATTTTCTTCAACTTTTTTAAAAAATAAAATAAAAATAAAAATTGTTCCTTTTACCAAGTGTGTCCATTTTTCTTTCTTTCTTCCGAATCGACTGACTTGGAATTATGATGACCGTGTATTTCTTGTCGAATATGCGATTTGGGATGCTTTTTTGGAAATACAAAAAGGGAAAACAAAAACCATTTAGTCCGAAATACCGAATTATTATTTTTGTTACCACGTCCCTATTTCCCCCGCCACGGTAGGACGTGTGATGGCGATTTGCTTCACTGACCAGAGAGCAGTTTCTCGAAAGTGCTGAAAGCGAAAGCGAAGAGCAGTAAACAGCGTCCTCCTCTCAGAGTTCTTTCTCTCCGGGAGGGAGTTAGAGAGGCAAGATGGCGGCCGGCGGGGGCTTGGCCGGCCTTCTGCCCGCGCAGAGCCAGCTGGACTGCGCGCTGGAGGAAGCGACGACGGCTCAGGAGAAGGAGAACCTGGTATATCAGCACCTGCGGAAGGTGGACACCTGGGAGCAGGATTTGAAAGTCCCCGAGTTCGGAGCAGGTGAGCTTTGAGGATTGGACGAGAAGGACCTCCGCCAAAAGCCCAGCGCTGAGACGCCGCCTTTCCGCGCATCCTCAAGCTCTCGCAGCGCGAATTGGTTTTCCTCCTGTCGTCCCTTTCCGCTCATCGTCTCTTTCTTTCTGGGTGCTGGAAACTAGATGTTGCAAACGACGCTTGCAATAGATTTTTTTTTTTAATGCAATGGGTTTTTGCAATCTTGAAACTTAAGAGAACTCTTTTGCATTCTTCTCCCCGCCGCCAACCCCCTGTATATACACCAGCTTTTCTCCTGTCTTCAGAAATGAAAGGGGACACAGGCACCTGCATTGGTAATAGCTACATAGAAAAGAGAGTTGCATGCAGAAGTGGAAAAGAGTTGCACCTGCAAAATTATTCTGGGTCTCTCTTACATCTTTAAAAAATAATCCAGAATTAAACGGATGGTCCTGGCCCCCATCACATTCACTTTAAACTCTTTCTTTGGTCGCAAGCAATGTTAAGCAACACAGTCCAGATTAAAAATAATAGTATCAGTGTTGACAACTCCCTTTTCCTCCACCCTTTCAGCAAATACATAAGGTACAAGTGGGAACTGTAATCTCAGTAGCTGATGCTTAGATCCAGGGGCAGTAATTATGTTGTTGTATTTGTTCACTATCTTGGGAAACAAGGCTGCAACTCCATTCATGTTTACTCCAAAGTTATTTGTTAACTTGTACTTACTCCGAATCATTGGATATTTGACTGCCCGATGCCTGAGACCAGATAGCTCAGTTGGTTAGAGCATGGTGCTGATAAGACAATGGTTGCAGGTTCGATCCCTGTATGGGACAGCTGCATTGTAGGGGGTTGGACTAGATGATCCTCAGGGTCCCTTCCAATTCTATGATTCTATAAAAAAGCAATGACTACCTTGCTGCATGCAGAGTTCTGCCCCATGCACAGTTGAAATGCAATATGTGCTATTCAGAAGAGGCAGTGCAATCCCAACCCTCACATCTGTGTTGGAGGGGATTTGGACAAAGGTTGATTTAGGGGAGTGAAGCCAATTCACCCACACTGGAGACCGAGCCAAGAGGGTACGCTTCAACAATGATGATGGGCGGGGGGGGGGGGAGGAAGAGATTTTGGAAGTTCAGTTTTGGCCACTGAAATTTGAAAGCCCAAACTCAGTCACTGGTTTGGTTGAAGTGTCCCTGCACACAGTCCTGCCTGCCTCTGCTGGTAGGTTAGCACCACCAGTGAGGATCACCCCAGTGCATCCACCCATATGACAGGTGAAAGCTACCACCAGTGGAACTCATTGAAGTGAGGCTAGGCGGGCACTACAATGTGGTGGTTGGATAAGTAGCAGATGGAAGTTCTCATTGTTTCAGACTTTGACACTGGTATTATATCCCACTAATTTGTTGGTTCAAACTACTTCAGATTACCTGTTATTTCAACAGAAGGTAATAATGCCAACTAACTGTGCTTAATTGTATATAGAGAAGTATTCCACAAGAAAGATGGGTAAAAAAATCCAACCGACCACTATTATTTCACCTTGCAAAGAATAGTAACTGCCAACTACAGTACTTTTCCTTATGAGTTAAAATTGCCAGTTATGAAAGTGGATGCTTAAGAATTAGCTCCACTTCAAGTTAGTGTATGGTTATATATCATATATGTCAACATCAAAATTGAATAATATTATTTTGTTGTCAAAAAGATTCTTTAACAAAATGAAAAATACAGTACTTTTGGACGTGTGGCTGTTTGTTTTTGAAAGTTAGCATGCCTGAATGTGAAATAGGGTAGTTTTCCAGTTTTATGTTAGGTTGGTTATCTTGGGAGTCCTGAAAAAATACAGATTATGAAATATTAAGTAGATGTATGTATGAAAAGTTTTCTTTTTAATTTGAATGTAGCAGTAGTCATCTGCTATTTTTGAATTTGCATAGTTCCTTGCACTTGCTTCTTGAAAGTAATGGAGTTATTTGCCCTCTGATTTCAGATTTACAATGGCTGAATACAGAAGAATCACTGTCTTTGTACAAAGACCTTTGTGGCAAAGTGGTGGTGTTAGATTTCTTCACTTACTGTTGCATCAATTGTATTCACATACTGCCTGATCTCCATGAGTTAGAGCAGAAGTACTCTGTGAAAGGTATCAACAAGTCTTATTTTTTTCTGGATGACCCTGTAAATCTTTTATAGCATTTGATCTGAATAAATTCAGTAGCTCTCATAGGCATTGTCAAAAATTAATTTAAACACTTTCTTTTAATGAATGTATTTTCATGTATTCTGCTATCCTGTTCCAAGTAATGCCCTGCTGTATATTTGTCATTATAGAAGAAACATTTTTAAAAATTTGTAATGAAAAAGCTGATCTGATCACAAATACCCTGGAGTCCAGAATCTTTGGCTCTGTTCCTTCCTGTTTGAATTTTGGATGCAATCGTATGCGTGCTTATTAGGGAATAGCAGAGCAATTAAAAACAAATTTATGTCACTCTGTAGGTGCCAATCTCCTCCTACCATTTACCAAATGGGCAGGCAGTTGGCCCGCTGGTGAGGACCAGCATAAAACATTTAAATGGGGCATTCCAGAGGCAGGGTGAGCCAATCTCAGATCCACTGGATCTCAAAACAGTCTCACTTGCATCAGCATTGGGTCCAAACCAGAGCTGGCTAAGGAATCAAGCCCAATTATACTTGCTTCCTTCTGCAGTAGCTGTTGTGAATGACCAGGCTGCAGATGCCATGGTTTCTCTGCTCCTCTGCAAAGCCCCACTGTCAGGGAGTGGGGGGTGGGGTTCATAGCTGTCAACTTTTCCCTTTTCTTGCAAGGAATCCTATTTGGAATAAGGGAATTTCCCTTAAAAAAAGGGAAACGTTGACAGCTATGGTGGGGTTGGATTGCAACCTAAACCGTACTGAAATCATTGGCACTCACATACATAAGAGTGCACTGTAAATAATTTAAAGAGACTACAGTCATACCTCGGAATAAATACGCTTCAGAATAAGTATTTTTGGGTTATGCTCCGTGATGACCCGGAAGTAACAGAGCGCGTTACTTCTGGGTTTCGCCGCTCGCGCATGCGCAGATGGTCAAAATGACGTCACGCGCGTGCACGGAAATGGTGAAACGCGACCCGCGCAGACGCACAGTTGCATGTTACATTTACTTCAAGATGCGAACGGGACTCCAGAACGGATCCTGTTCGCATCCCGAGGTACCACTGTACATTGTTCCTTTTTACTTGATGATCTTCCATTTAGTGATCATCAACCTATGCTTTGACTGGTTTCACCCCAATAAGTAAGCATATTCTGGCACTGCACATAGCTGGGGAAGCATAGTCCACTGCAGGGAAGTAGAAGCTTTGAACTTGCTTGATGGACCCTGCTGGGCTGGGAATGATGGTGTTGGAATCTTAACAGCATCTGGGGTGCCACCTGTTCTGTAACCCTGATCTGGTTGTCAAAGGGTTTGTAACAGCACTGCTTGATTTGCAGCCAACTGGCTGAGATTGTGACTGATAGATTAGAAATCTTGATTCCGTCTACAATTTGCAATTTTGCATTCAGGTTCTGATGGTTGACATATAGAGCCTCTTAGACAATGTTCCATAGGAAGGATTCTAGGTACACACATTAATGTACATTCTTGGGTACAGTTTACTGGAATCCCAACTGCACTTTACTGAGAATGACCTAGTTAATGTTATCATGCCTTTCTTCATAAAACATAGTTTGTGAAGCCAGGAATAAGTGTTGTGGGCAAGCTCTCCTCCTTTGCCCCTCTCTCATTGTGTCCTGACTTCAGCATGAATATCCTGGATTGTATTAAGTGAAAGTTTCCTGTTATGTGCAAACTGAGGTATGCTAGCTTGATATATATTGCTTAACAAACCAGGAAAATGGGCTAGAATCTTCCTTCATGTTTCATCCTAGTTGTTAAACCAGAGCTCTCCATTTTGGACATAAAGACCCAGTAGCTTGCTACATTTCTAGTCAACAAATTATAATGTTGATTTGGAGAAGAAAACATTCTCACACTGACAGAATTATCCCCTCAGTGCTATGTTAAATACAACCCAATATATTTAAGTGTGAAATTGTTACTGCGTAGTATATAATTGGCATGTTGCATGAACCTTAGTGTCTTACTTAAGCAAACTATAAGTACAAATTTCTAGTTTGCAAAATTAAAATCTATCATTTTTTTCTGGAATACATATCTTAATTTTAGAATTCTAGCATAAACCCTTGCTATTCTGATGTGCATATTTTATATTATTGTGCTACAGATATTCTCTTGCAAGTAGCTGTTTTAGAACAAAAGTCCATTATTATATTTACGTGATAGGAGATCGTAAACCTAATGAGTTAATATGTGACATTCTCAAGGTCATCACATTTTTTAAATTAACGTGTACATCTGGAATTTTGTAGGTGTATTTTAGAACATGAATTGTTGCCAGTTAGCATGTTTATCAGATATGTTCTTGCTCTTATCATTGCTAGTGCTATTTCTGCATCCAGTGTGGCATTCACAAGGTTATTTTAAGCCCTAATGCACATTCATTTCACATCAACAGTTTAGAAATGGCCTGTTGGATTACTGTATGAGGAAGTGCTTCTTGACAGAAATACTTTGGTAGAAGGCCAGTTTGCTGCTATTGTGTAATCTTTTCAGTGCAGATTGAATCCAACTGCATCCTCACAAAGTAGAATTTTACATTTGATATATTTGGAAAGGACCCCAATAGTCATCTAGACCAGTGTTTCCCAACCGGTGTTCCGCGGCACACCAGTGTGCCGTGAGACCTTGCCTGGTGTGCCGTGGGAGGGAGGCGGGAGAGGCGGGGCGGCGGCGGCATCTCCTGCTGGATGCAAATCCAAACATGGCGGGCGCCTCCCTCGCTCCTTTGTAGGCGGACCATCGAGAGAGAAAGAAAAGGAGGCGAAAGAGCGAGAGAAGGCGCCTGCGCGGAAAGAGGAGCGAGCAGTGCGCCTGCGCGCCGCGGCGCCCGAGATCGCTTCTCCCCACCGCCCCTTGCTTCAAAAGAGGTCCGGGGACAGCGGGAAGCGCTTCGCGCTGCCCCCGGACCTCTTTTGAAGCAAGGGTTTGCGGGGAGAAGCGATCTCCCCGCAGCCCCTTGCTTCAAAAGAGGTCCGGGGGCAGCGGGAAGCGCAGCGCTTCTTCCCCGCTGCCCCCGGACCTCTTTTGAAGCAAGGGGCTGCGGGGAGATCGCTTCTCCCGGTGCTCCGAAGCGGGGCGGGGGGGCGGGAACACCTGCCCCAGCCGCCCCGCTTCGGAACGCTGCTCCGAAGCGGGGCGGGGGGGCGGGAACACACAGGAAGGAATAGTAAAGATCTGGGAACTCTAGTCTGCGCACTAAATCTGTACCTCATTTTCGGTTCCATTTTTTATTCCAGAGACAGAGCAATGGTATTTAGAATCTCCATTGCAGAACTTGTCCTGAAGTCATGAGCATGTCTTCAGAGCCTGACAACAAGCTGCCAGGTTTTGTAAGGATTACATCGTGCACTTATTCTTACTAAATCCCTAGCTCAGAATTTAAACATTGATTCCAAGCTTGGATGAAAGAGTACTGGACTACATCCAAGATGGAAATGTTTTGCTATCCTATTTCAGACCCTATTGAAAGCAAAAGGGGTGCAGTTGAATTCAATATCAATAAGAAATTAAAGTTCTCTGTTCCACTTGGTATGTAATTAAATGCAGTGCAGTTTGAAGAGTTGGAATTGTTTATCTTATGTGTGGGAAGAGGCCTTGAAATTAGATAGCTATCACCTTCCACAGGGTTCTGTCTGTTAACAGAGCAGACTGCTAGAATCTTATTTATGGTAATGTTCTGTCAACACTACATAACAGAAGGGTAGGGGAAATTCTTGTGAGATTTTCTGTTTTAAGGAGCTGGAAGGGTGATATAACTCTTTTTTAATAAATTAGCTGTCGTTAGAATGTTGAAATAATTATTTTTCTTTTGGGAAGGGAAGGGCAGATTGGTTAAATCTTTGAAACACTGATATCATTTGCTTGCAGATGGAGGGCTGGGTGGAAGTGTTTTTTTTCTCCTTCTTAAATTTGCACCACTATTCACTGATAAGACATTACTAGTGGTATATTAGGGACTCGGGTGGCGCTGTGGGTTAAACCACAGAGCCTAGGGCTTGCCGATCAGAAGGTTGGTGGTTCAAATCCCTTCGGCGAGGTGAGCTCTTGTTGCTCGGTCCCTGCTCCTGCCAACCTAGCAGTTCGAAAGCACAAAGTGCAAGTAGATAAATAGGTACCGCTCCAGCGGGAAGGTAAACGGCGTTTCTGTGCGCTGCTCTGGTTTTGCCAGAAGCAGCTTAGTCATGCTGGCCACATGACCCGGATCCGAGCTGTATGCCGGCTCCCTCGGCCAGTAAAGAGAGATGAGCGCCGCAACCCTGGAGTCATCCGCAACTGGACCTAACGGTCAGGGGTCTCGTTACCTAGTGGTATATTTGCTCATTAACGTTTAACAGTGCCAATTTTTTCATACAATTTTTCAATATTTATGAAATGAGTTCAAGGTTACTATTGTGTTTAAGCTGTTAGAGTAATTTAAGACTGATGATGCCACAGTTGATTGGACAGTATTTTTTTTTATAAAAGTAACAATTCAATCCTAACCATGTATATTCACATAGAAGTCCTACTACATTCATTGGGGCATACTCCCAGGTATAAGTGGGGTTAGTATTGCAGCCTAAATTTCTACATGTAATGAGGTAGAACCTGTGTTTAATGTCAGGACTCAGCCAAGTAGACATGTGATTTCTATAAAAATGTGCTAAGAGCCTTTCCCTCAACACTGATTATCTACAACCAAGTCCCATTCCTGGGATTAGGCATTCTCTTACACTCCGAGTCCTAGAATTCTGTAATTAATTACTGTGCCAAGCACAGCCTTGCAAATAAACCCACAAGTTACTAGTTTACCAGAGGAGGTATTAAGAGCTTCATTCCTTCTCCAGCAGCCTAATGATTAGGAGGCTTCCCTACTCTTGCAGTCTGCTTGGTTCTGCAGGAGACAGATGGAATATTTTGTTACTGGTTTTTATTCACCCTGTAATGAGTTTATATTGGCATGTATTTTAAAAATGGGAAATTTCACAAAAGTATCAGCATATCATAATTCCACACTGTCAGTTTAGTTCCTTAGGAAAGCAGTTCATGGGGCATTAAGACATGATAAAATAACGAGCGTTAGATACTGGTGTACAGCTGACACACAAATGGTCCTTGGAAGATGTGTATTGGCTTATAGAAAATAGAATAGTTAGATTTTACTGAGTGAATACAGCGGTACCTCGGGTTAAGTACTTAATTCGTTCCGGAGGTCCGTTCTTAACCTGAAACCGTTCTTAACCTGAAGCACCACTTTAGCTAATGCGGCTTCCTGCTACCGCTGCGCTGCATTATTTTTGTTCTCATCCTGAAGCAAAGTTCTTAACCCAAGGTAATATTTCTGGGTTAGCGGAGTCTGTAACCTGAAGCGTATGTAACCCAAGGTACCACTGTACTTTGGACATGTTACTATATTTAGCTGACTGTCAGAGAATCGGAAGGTTTTTTCATCTTTTTTCTTTCTCTTCTTTTTGCTTTGGTAATTATAAAAATATACTTTGTATTGGGTATGAACTTTTGTATATCTTTTGATAGGTGTCAATAGATATAAAAACATTATAAAAGTAGAAAGAGTAGTTTGGTTACATGAAACTTTTCTGGTGTAGTTTATTGCTTTTTTCATATTTTATCTTAAATGCTTGAGAACATAGGTTTTTATCAACATTATTTATTTAAAATATTTATACCCTGCCTTTCCTTGTACGGTCTCCAAAGCAGCTAACAGCTTTTGTTTTTGAAATCAGCATCTAAATTTTAGCAAAACATAAAACCATAGCTAAAAAAAACCACTTTGGTGAAATGTAGATTGAGGTTGGTGTGGAGTAGTTCCTGTTCCTAGAGAGATGAGTAGCTTCACGGATTACTGGTTAATTATATGCAACATTTATTCATATGTGAAACATTTAATGCAGAGTGTTAATTTGGGCTTGTTTCTATGCTAGGTTTGCTTGGCAAGGTTTCAGTGATATATTTACATTTATAAATATATTTAAAAAGTAATGAAACTAGATAATGATAACTGAATTTTAGAACTACAAGCTTGACTCTCTGAAAAACTCAATTCCAGGAATGTTGGCATTGTGAGGAGGTAGTAACATACCTGCAATCGAACTAGGAAAAACTTTACAATGTTGTTTTGATGCTTGCTCTGGTCATTGAAGGCTGAATGTTCTCTAAGATTGATGTGAACTGTTGACAAATGACTGACCATCAGGCCTGGATTGCAGTAGCACTAAACATTATAATAGGCCCTCTATCATTGCAGATAAACATCCTCCACATCCAAGCCTATGGGCTTTCATCTTCATGCAAGTATGACACAAAGCCCTTTTTCTGTCTCTTTTGCTCCATGTGCTGAGCAAAGGTTTGTCTTAGCATATTGTGTGAACCAGCGAACCAGGAGCTGTAGCCAATGGAGTTAAAAAAATCAGAGAAAGGGAGGCTGCTGCAAGCTCTTTTGTGATTGCAGTTTGGGATGAGAATGTAGCCAGTATTTTTTTTATAAGGAGAAGGATGCAAATATAGCTCACTTAATTTTTGTTCCTAATTTTAAATCCCTTACTAAGCCAGTTCTGGGTTTCAAGGCCCGCATACGTTGTGGTTGTGCCCATTTCTGTGTGGAAGTTTCAACTATTGTGTTACAAATGCTTTTTTGATTCCTCAATTCCTGCAAACCTATTCTTGATTCCCTTCTTTACTCCTTCTCCCATAGCTGATGGTTTCATTTAATTAATGGCCCTTTTTCTCATTCAGTTGGGATCTTTGATATGTCCTTCCTTGTGGCCATAGATGTACAAAGCAAATTCTTTCTCCTAATACTAACAACGAAATGTTGTGCATATCTCCTCTAAACTAAATTCCATAATGTTCAGTGGAACTCAGTCCTACTGTGAGGATTAAATCTTGAGCTTCCGAACTGTCCCCCCTCCCCCATATGCCAAATAACTACAAAATGCTCTAGTCTAGAGTTCCATATAACCATTTAGGGAGCTTTCTTTTGATCCAGCCTTATCTGCACTTTATTTAAATCTTTTTTTATTGCCTTTAAGTAGCATTTAATATGTGTCTGTGTTTTTTCTGTGCTTTCAGATGGTCTCCTTGTGGTTGGTGTCCATTCGGCAAAATTTCCAAATGAAAAGGTTCTGGATAACATCAAAAGTGCTGTCCTTAGATACAATATCACTCATCCTGTGGTAAATGATGCTGATGCAACTCTTTGGCATGAGCTAGAAGTATCCTGCTGGCCAACCTTGATCATTGTTGGACCTCGTGGGAATATGCTGTTCACTCTGGTTGGTGAAGGACACAAGGACAAATTATTTCTATTTACATCCATAGCCCTAAAGTATTATAGAGAACAAGGACAAATCAATGCTAATAAAATTAGAGCACAGCTCTATAGAGACTATTTGCCACCTTCGCCTTTGCTCTTTCCCGGCAAAATTACAGTGGACAACTCTGGGGACAGATTGGTAATAGCAGATACTGGACATCACAGGATTGTGGTTGTCAGGAAAAACGGTCAAATTCTGCACACTGTTGGAGGTGAGGAGAACTTAAATGTAGGAAAGCCTTTCATATTAGCTTTTATGCTGTCATGGCAGATCTTGAATTCTGTGCCGCTGGTACCCTTTCTAGTAAAAGTGTTCTTAAAAACTGTTTTCTGTGCAGAGTGTAGCAAGTTGTCTGCCACAAGTGAATTGTTACTTGCTCTGAGCTTCCGACTAGGTACGGTAAATGCTTTTAATTCTGTTTTTACAGCTGTGTAATGCCTTGCAAAAGTTGAAACTTGAGATTTTGCTGTAAAGAAAATCCTTGTAATTGCAGCTGGTTTGTTTTTATTGTATTGCCTACAAAATATTATTTGGAAAATGTACAAATCATATTTCAAGACCATTTGCACAAGTACATTTTAAATATGAATATTCTTTTACAATAATATACATTTCCTTGAAGAAGATAAATGACAAACTCTTAAATAATTAAACAATACAGGGCTCTCTAATTTTAGGTTGACTTCTAAAATTGGGTAAAGGTTTGCTCCTGAACTCTTATCAGCTTTTACGCTTACGTACGGTTAATCTTTTGATGCAAATTCTAATTCTTTTTTGTTTTGTTTTCTTTTCAGGACCAAACAGTGGAAGAAAAGATGGGACATTTTCAGAAGCATTATTCAGTTCTCCACAGGGAGTGGCTATAAAGAACAATATTATTTATGTAGCAGATACAGAAAACCATCTGATTAGGAAGGTAAACTTTCCTAGCTAGAAAAAAATTATAGGAGAATGGCCAAATTCTCTTATGAGTTACATTGGTAAAATGGATGTGAAAGTAACTATGCTATGTATCTGAAAGTAGAATCTTGTCTAATATTTATAAACATGTTTCCAAAGTATTTGGAACAGACTTCTTTTCATTTTCACATATGCTTTTAAGGCAAGTTATTAGGTACAACAGTTTAATGCTTTCCTAAAGAGAATGGAATGCAATAATGTTGTGTGCCATGATTTCTCAGTTCCATTTTTAAATAATTGCATTTTGGCTCTACAAAACCATGTGTTTTGTCTCCCTTCCCTCTAGGAAATATCTAGGAATATAAGCAAGAGACTATCATTACTCAGCAGAGCAATGGAATTATAGGGCTGGGATGAAACTGGTTATCTCATTCAGCTCACTTGAATGCCAGACTCCTCACATGAGACCATATATACACCTCACAAATGAATATGCACATTATAGTTTGGCCCACATCATTTTGAATTGGAGTGTGCTATGAGCAAGAGTACATAAGATGTCCAAGTCAAAGTTTGTGGCCTAAATCTCCAATAATAGTAGTAGTAGTAGTAGTAGTAGTAGTAGTAGTAGTAATAATAATAATAATAATAATAATAATAATAATAATAATAATAATATAAACTGTTACCATGCCTCCTTGCTATTCAGGCCGCTTACAACTTAAATTATGTAAAATTAAGATTTTAGTATTTACCTTTTGATTTCTGTCCATGTTATCATGTACTATTTGTACATGTTTCAATCAATTATAATTTTACAGCGTGGATTAGGCCTGTGAATGTTGAATAACCTGTAGAATTTCTTTTCAGTGACATCATAATATTTCTCTTACTAATAAACACCATTATTATTTTTATGGGAATACATTACTTTATCCGTTACCTTTTTCTTAAGACCAGTAACATTTCAGTAATATTTCAAGAATATTTTTAAGAATTAAAGATAGATCCATGTGAAGAACTATAAAAGACAAATTCAGTTAGTCAGCTTCCCCTACCTACCCATCATACTGTATTTCAAATCTGAAGAACATGGAAGGCAATTGATTTGATTTACTAGACTTTTTATTTAAAAAAGTCTCCAAGCTTTTTATAATATTTATAAAGCAATAAAATATGATAAAGACACATTAAGACAATAGAGAGTAGCATATTTTTTCCACACTTGGTAAATAACATAAAAAGCAAATCAAATTATTCTGATTTCATTCTAGATTGACCTCCAGTTAGAGATGGTGAGCACTGTTGCAGGAGTTGGATTACAAGGCACAGATAAGGAAGGAGGAGCCAGAGGGGAGGAACAGCCTATTAGTTCGCCATGGGATGTAGTCTTTGGAACGTCAGGTATTTTAATGAATGTCTGTCATGTGATGTCGGAACACAGCGTGGCTGCTGTGGTTATGTGGCATAATACTAATTTAAAGAGAGTACTGTCATTTAAAGAGAGTACAGAGACACACTTGACTCCAGGCAAGCTCAGAAAGAATGAATGAATCTTTATTTGCGTCAGCCATTGGCTATAGCAATAAAAAAAATACAATATACAAAGAATAGAAATAAAAAGTCAGTTATATAAAATTCCAGGACTGATGGTATATGTTTACCATCTTTTGTGTAGAAAAAGCATGTCAGAATTTTGGGATGTTTTGGGGCGCTTTTTCTTTTGCACATTCTGGTTTGCTCCCCATGACCCCATAGACTGGAAAACGAGGCCAAGATATTTGAAAACTTTGACCTGTTCAATTAGCTGGTTATCCATGCGCCATCTATGGGCTCTGTAGTTTCTTGAGAAAATGATGACTTTGGCTTTCTAGTAATTCACAACCAGCTGTACTCTCAGGCAATATCCTGACAATGCCATCATCAGTCTTTTAAGGCCTACTTTTGTATGGGATAGAAAAATGGCATCAGCTGCATATAATAGAATTGAGATGGGTTTTGTAGCCAATTTAGGGGCATGATACACTGGAGATGTTAGACACTGGACAATATAATTTATATATAGGTTGAACAGTGCCGGGGCTAGAATACACCCTTGCTTGACTCCCTTTGTGGCTGGTACAGATCCTGTAAGTTGTTCATTTGTGGAACAGCGCACTTTCAACACAGTATCTTTATAGAAGCATTTGATCAAGTACCATAGTCTTTTGTCTATACCTCAGACACACAATGGGAGGGCTTGCTGGTCCTGATTGTGGAAATCACACAATATTGATTTCTCGCAAAGCTGCTTTTGCTGTCTAATAACAACAGGAAGTATTCCCCTGTACTGGGCCATGCTCACTCTCTTGCACATGTAGTGAATTCATGCAGTCTATCTTGTGAGACAAGAAATACTTCTAAAGATAAGGAGTTTTTACTTTATAACAGTGGCTATGCCCAAGATTTGCTCTTTTGCCCCATCTGTTTGAGACTACTAACCCAAGGAGATAAGAAGTGAAATTCAGTTAACTATGCCAGCTGTCTATTTTGTAAGGGATTTTTTTTTTTACACTAATGCCAAAAGTCCAGATAGGCAAGCATAAAAGCAAGCAAGGAGGAAAGAGAGGTCCAAATTCCTCCCAGGTGCACAGGAGGAACAAAGCAAGTTGTGTGGGCATGAGCTTGAGGTTTGCTGTGGCTTGTTCACATCATGTTAAATTAAGTTTAGTGTGATGTTTGAACATTGAACATTTTGTTCAAACTTTCAGTTATGTCCCCTTTTTTGTCATGCTTTGTTAAAGTAGCATATTTTACTGCTTTAGAGTTCTTGAACAGAATTTTATATACATAGTTTTGGAGTCTTAGCACTTTATTAATGGTCATGTACATTTCAGCTTTCTGTACCATTCTTTTCTATTTTTATTCAGTGCCACTGAAAGCAAGCAGTTCTAAATGCACTTTTGACTGAAGTGTGAAATGTTCTTGATAGCTCTGTGCCTTTCAGAAAGAAGGCAGCTATGACCCAGGCATTGTGATCTGCATGTATAACATAGATTCCAAAATATATGCATTTTGGTACACAGTTACATCTATTTATAAAAGCATCAGCCAGCACACATAGTCTTAAGTAAACTATATTGAAACTAGCAGGGAACAGGGAATATAGTCCTAATGAACTATATACGTGAATATTTATTTTATAAAATGTATGCACAGCATGATTGTGTAAAAAAAACACCTCAAAGTGATTTAAAGGTAAGGGGGAAAGGGACCCCTGACCATTAGGTCCAGTCGTGACCGACTCTGGGGTTGCGGCGTTCATCTTGCTTTATTGGCCGAGGGAGCCGGCGTACAGCTTCCGGGTCATGTGGCCAGCATGACTAAGCCGCTTTTGGTGAACCAGAGCAGCGCACGGAATTGCCGTTTACCTTCCCGCCGGAGCAGTACCTATTTATCTACTTGCACTTTGATGTGCTTTCGAACTGCTAGGTGGGCAGGAGCAGGGACCAAGCAACGGGAGCTCATGCCGTTACGGGGATTCAAACCGCCGACCTTCTGATCGGCAAGCCCTAGGCTCTGTGGTTTTACAAGAAGATAAAACAATAAAATTACAACTGTACTTCAAAACATACAAAAGTTAAAATACTAAAACATGTTAAAATTACCTCAACTTCCTAAGCATCTGGGAAGGCTTGTCTGAACAAAACATGTTTTTAACATGCACCAAAAAGTGTTCGTTGAAAGCTCCTGCTTGATATCAATAGGTAGGGAGTTCAGAAATGTAGGTGCTGTCATACTAAATGACCAAGTTCATGCAGATGTGGAATAGGTATAGTGTGGCACCTGTAGTAGAACAAATTATGTCAATCGAAACGGTAGAATTGGCACATGTGGGGTAAGGTGATCTCATAGGCAAATTGGTTCCAAGTTGTTAATGGCTTTGTTAAGTGGCATTGGTGTATTAGAAGTGTATGTGGCAGGAGAGAGGTAACAGATTGAGCTGAAATTGAAAGATAGTGAGCCTGTTGCACACTCTATGCAAAGAGCTGTATTAGACCAGGGATTGTCAAGCATACCTGACCTCTCTTTAACTGCACGAAAGAGTTCTGCTTAAATGGTGGTGGTGGTAACCTGTACTCCATTTGATCTCTTTTCCCTATACTGTATACAGTTTGCTATTTTGGAAAGACTTTTTAACATTATGATTTTTCTTCCTGTTGTGCATATCTGAGAGTTGCATTTTGCCTCCTTGAGTTCTTCTGCTCAGCTGTAATATTAAACTGTGATGTCCTTGAACTGTGATAGGGTCTTTTGCTTGCTTCAATGGAGATGTGTGGCGGTGGTAGGGGGAACACTGATCTTTTGTGTAGCTGGACTGTAACCTAGTGTACAAGGTTAAGAGTCACATAAACCAATTTTTGTGTCTTGCAACTCCTACCACTGTTATGCAGAAGGTTGCCCACAAGAGAATGTGAGCCTCAGGTGGGAAAAGGCTCCCCATCCCTGTCATAGGTAGAAGTATGATTTAAATTCATCACAGATATTTCATATTGTCTTCATATTGTCAGAAAAGTTAAGAAAGGGCTGGTTCATTGCAATATCATAATTTGTATGCACTCTGCTTGCAAGTAAATAACTGAACTTTGCTGTAAGATAATTTTCACCCTGCACTTGTATCCTGCAGACAGAAATGTGAATATTTTAAAAGACAATTATTAATAAAAAATATTTTATTTAGAAACATACAGTTGCTACATAGCCAAGCCTGGTTTCAGTTCCCTACCTGTCTCATCACTAAGTAGTACTTCAGGGACGTGGGAGAAAATTGAGGCTGATCCTTTGAACCAGGCAGCATTTTAATGGCGATACTTCAGGTTCATTTCACTTGTAAAAGGGTAATTGAACCCATGCCTGCAATAGTTATAAAACTTTTCTGTGTGCCACTACAATTAACTGTACAACAAATCTATGTAAAGTTCAGCAGACTTTAATTGTTTCTACATTGCCAAGGTCAACAATGAGTAAATCACTTGACAGTGCCATGTATCATCATACTTCAGGTTTAAGGAGAGTAATTTATTGCAGCGTTACTGTATTGTGCTATGGTGCAATTGTGTACCATATCGGTATGTAAATGAGCATTACTGCCTCATTTCTGTAAAAACAGGTTGATTACACTTCTGTGAAATTTCTATAAAACCGAGTTGAGTAGAATCCTTCAAGACTTTCCTTGGAGGTGAATTTAAATCCAACTTGCTTTAATATGTATGCTGATCTTATTAATTGAATTAGTGCCACTGTATTGATAAAGAATTTGTTTCCAAAATGAGAAATCAGGTAATGCAAATATATTAATCGCCATTTTGTTAACATAAACTCAACTAAAGCACTTTATAACCAAATAAAACTGAACAATTCGAGCAATCAAGCAACAGTATTGATAAAAATAAGCAACCGACCCCACAGCAGTGTTGAATACACTAGATTTTATTTCATGCAGGGAAGCAAAGGCTCTTTGGCACACTGTAACCAGGCCCTAATTTTAGGCTGTAATGTGGTGGAAAGAGAACAGTAGAAGGATGTTGATAAACTTTGTTAACATAAGAGCTATTCAATCTGGAGTCTTAAAACAAATAAGTAGAAATAGCTGCTGTTTCTGGTCATGTTTTTACATGTTGAAAGTATGTTTACCCACTGTGTACAGAGGAATAGCTTGGGATGCAAACTGAACGCTTGAAAGATTTTAATGAAATCTCTTATAGGGCAGTTCCTTTCTCTGGGAGAGAATGAATATAGAGAAACATACCTGGCTCTTCCAATAACCCTGTGTGAGAGTCAATGTGTGGTGTCACTGTTACTAACTTTGGATTTTAAAAATCCAACTTCAAATCTCTGCTCAACTATGAAGTCAGGGTGCTGCGTTGGGAAAGTTACCGTCTCTCAGTCTAAACTACCTACCTCTGTGTTGTTAGGCTAATAAAACATCACATGGCATCTTGAGTTCCCTAGAGGAAAAGTGAGATGTTAGTGACAGCTATTATTATTATTTAGACGCTATCAGTTTGCAGTTTCCCTTGTTTGTGATCCATATCTGTTGTCCAAGAGAGATGGGAGAATGAGAAACAAGCCCGATTCTCTTTGAGGTGGCAACCTGTGTCAGATTTACAACTTCAGATTATCGTTAGGGCTCACTTAATGGAATGTTATCTATATGTGTTTTAAAAATGAAGATCTCCACACAGGTGATATGTGCCAGAGAGACTGCAAGCCATAACCATTTCCCCAAATTTAGTTTTTGTGTCAAGGGATGTTTTGTATGGTGCAGCATTCCATCATGTTTAAAGTGATACAGCCCTAGGCATAGGTTTACTAGGTAGGTCAGTCCTTTGTTTCCCTGGCCTGTTGTGTTGGGACTACTAGGGAGACCCCCCATCCCCAAGTAACTAGGATGGTAAATAGGATTGGGCTGCTGCACACTATTGATAGTGGAGAAAGCTGGGCCATATATATTGCCTACCTGAGTCAATCCATTTATAGAGAAATTGTTATCTTGGAATTCTTAGATAGAATGAAAATGACTTTTTTTTTACAGGAAAGGTACATGGAATGCAGTTAAGAGGACTATTAATCCATCACTATCTGCATTTTATTGTTGATTCATCTTTACAGTGGAGCTGTAATCGCAAAGCAAAAATAAAATGCTTTGATACTGCAAACAGCACTGGCAATGAGAATGTATATTCCCTAATAAGGATAAGCTGTTGCTTTGAAACTACTCCTTAGCTGGAATGTGGAGTTTAACTGCATAAAAGTGAAGGAATTACTTTATTATTTTTATTAGGGTAGCTGTTTCATAGTAAAAGTGCTTTAGGTAAATCCATAGAAGGATTGTAAAGTGTAACTGGGGATTCTACTAGCATAGTGAGAGACATGTTTAAGTATAATATTTTGGTTTCCTCTGGGATTTTTCAATAAGGCTCATCTGTTGTATTAAAAAAAAATCTGCAGTATGTCCACTTTAGATTAAAAAATAACATTCCTTGCTCATGGGCCAGATGAAACTATTTTGTAATAAGCTTATTGTTTAAACTAAGGGAGACTATATAAAATACTTCTGTATTTTAGTTCTTGTTTTGTAGACATTGAGCAAAGACAATTATTTCCCGGATTTTTGGACTATTAATGGCTTTTGTGATATAGTAAGGCCTTAGTCCTTGCCATATCCTGCATGTGATTATAAAAGCAGTGAGAATCTCAATATAACTCTGTTCAGAACTGTGGAATACAATGAGTGTTTTATAAAATATTTGAGGAGGTACAGCTATATATGGTAATTGTTCTTCCTTCCTTCCTTTCTTTAATATAGCACATATTAAATACAGTTTCTTTTTCTTTCTTTGCTCAGTGACAAAAGCCATACAAGTTTCCGTTTTCTGTTTGATTTTTTAAAATGTTGTTTGCGTCACTTCTTGTGATGGAATGCATGTTTTGAGTCACAAAAGACTCCTTTTTGTTCCAAAATCTCTCAGGAAATATAGTAGGAAATGTACTCTTTCTAGGATCTCTTGCAGAAGTAATTTTCTTAGAGGAAGATCTGACTAATTTTTTATTACTACATAGCCATTTTTTATGGAAAGACACTACTTTGTATTTAAAATGCTTCCATAAAATCTAAAATACAATGATTTTTTATCTTGATATGCATATTTAACAATCTGCCTAGAAATCTGAACAATGATTTTAACTATCTTAACGCTTCCTAGGCCAGGTGTATGTTACAATTTTCTGTACCTCAGTGCTATATTGCAATAGATATAAATTTCTATATAGCAAAAAATCCCAAAATTACAGGGAGGGGGGAGAATTTTTATAAGTGAAAAGAAATACCCATGATTTGTATTTGGAATGCTGTAGGAAGGTGTAAACAATAGAAACATTTCTAAACTCTGATTTGTCCAATCTCTCTGCCCTGTCCCTCCATGGCTTCTTCCTTAAATGACTGCTGCCAACAAGCAAAATACAGTAGACCCTCGGGTTACGTTACTCTCGAGTAACATAAACTTCAGGTTGCAAAAGTGGCAAACCCGGAAGTACTTCGCATGCGCAGAAGCGCTCTATCGCACCGTGTGTGTGCGCAGAAGCGGCGCCTCTGGATGCAGATCTTTTGGTGTGCGCTTGGACCCCCAGAACAAATTAAATTCATATCCAGAGGGTCCACTGTAGAGACAAAAGAATAACTGATTTATCCAGCTCTTCTGTTCCCTGATTTGTCCAATCTCCCCACTCCCTCCCTGCATGGTTTCTGGCCAAAAATGGCTGCCACCAACGAGCAAAGCACAAAATAATCACAAAATGTGTTCAGACTCTGGCTGTTCAGATATCTGAATCAGCCATGCATATAATGAGGCTTGGATTAGTGAACTTTCACATAGCAAGTGTTCAGAAAGTGGGACCTGCGTGTATGGTAATATATTGTTCACCAATAACAACCTACAGGAGTTGCAAGGACAGCCCATGTTGACTGCGTGACAGTATTTTTATTTTATTTTAAAGCAACCGGTAGAAGAATAGCACGTACTGCAATCCTACGTTGTGCTATAAATATGAAATACTGGGCACCTTTGTGCTGTATTGAGTGTAGTGCTTGCAAAAAAAAGGGGGCAACTTTCTTTTTTTAATCTCTGTAAAGATCGCAAATATCTTCCATTGTGCAAAATAGGCACCTTTATTTTACAAATATAGTTTATAGAGCCTCATAATTGTATTTATCAAGATCCTGTGACATTTTGATTGGTAATTGGAACAGATGTTAGATCATGCCTATAAACTGGCAAACTGGAAAGTTTGTCTTCCTCTCTTTTGTTTGTTTTTCCTCTAGAGCAGGGATTGTCAGCTGGCAGTCTGTGGCTTAGATACAGCCCCTCACGCAGTTTTTAATGACATATTTGTGTCCAGTACAGTGTTATGATTGAGTGCACGTGCTGCATACCTATCAGATTCCAACTGCCAACTTTTTTATAGACCTGACAGCTGTTTGGAATAATGTGGCATCCGTTTTCATAGAAAATTGACCATCCCTGCTGTACAGGGAAATCAAGTAGGTAAATATCTTCTGCAAATAATATCGTTACCATAAATCTCATTCAAGATAAAATATAATTTGAGGTAGCCTAGTTGTGTTAAAAATTTGGAGCATTCAGTTTAGCCCAAGGATAGAAAACCTCTGGCCCATAGATCAGATTAGGCCCAGCGCAGATTCCAGTTTGGTCTGTAAGACCGCTTTCCCCAAACGATGCCTACCTGCCCCATTCCTGACATCACCTGTGATGCCAGGTGTTGTGCAGGAAGTGGCGTGGCTGGAAAGAATTGGTTGGGAGCAAGTGAGACTTGCTATCAGGATCAGTTAGTTGATCAGTGCTTAGAGGAAACTCCACTTGGGGTGAGGTTCGGCTGTGCTACGAAGTTCCTGATCGGAAACTCCAAAGCACAATCATTCTCTGCCCAAGCAGACTTGCTGATAGGCAGTTACAGCAAGCCTTGCTTGCCAAGGAACAGCTGGGAGTGCACTTTTAAGGCTCCCAGTTTTTCCTTAGCAACCATGTCTCTTACCTACCCCACAAAGCAGGGCTTGCTTTAAGCAAAAATATTCTTTTGCATCTCCAGCTTGAATTCTAGCTGGCAATACAAAGGTTGTTCGTCTGCAAGCACAGCTTGCGCTGTGCCCACAAAGGAAATACGTTCCTTTGCATTGCCAGTTTGAATCGAAACTGGCAATTCTATGGATCTTTCTCTGTTGGCACACCCCTGGTTTTGCCTGATTAGCTGAGAGTTGAAGACGAGGAAAGCGTATCTTAGCATTCCATATGTGATCAAAGAGTAAAACCACTGAATTGTTTTCTTTTATGTTCATAGAATTTTAAGCATGCTTACTTTACATAAAATGTGTCTACTGTACTTTTGCATGTGACACCACAGCACTAACTGACCTTTTGAAGAGAAAGTTTGCATCAATAAAATTTGGGGAAAAATAAAATACACTGACATCTCAATCTTTATGCATGTTTATTGGGGGGGGGGGAAGCCGTGCTGATTTTTAGTGGACTGTATTTTCAAGCCAGGGTGCATAGGATTGCAGCATTTAATAACGTATTTCAGTTATCAAGCCCAAATGTTAGTTCCTAAAAGTGTCCACCAGAATGCACTCTGCTTTCAAATGAAGCATTATTATGAATAAATGTGTTCATCGCCTTTCAGGGGGAAATCCTGTGTTGTTCAGGAAAGGGAGGATCCTGAACCCATAACTGTTCTTTATAAATGCTTACTGGATCTTTGTAAGATAGAAGTTCAGGATCTTAATAGAGGTGTGCAATAGAAGATTAGAATGTATCATACAGCCTAAACAATGGGAAATGGCTTTAGAATCTATTTGGATTTTTTTTTAGTTGAGATTGATCCAGCAAAGATTAATATTTTGGGTTATTGAACTTCATTGTCCAATGCAGATAGATGCTGGAGGTGTAATACTGAAAAGAAGAACTATTTGCATTTAAAGACTTTGAAGTTATGCATAACAGAACTTAGTACAAAGTACCTTTCTCTTTCCGTATCTCGTCCTATTGGCTCATGTCATTGCTTTTACTGGCCAAGAATGACTGTGGAGGTTTTGACCTAGGTTTCCAGAGGAAATTATAATGACTTTCTCTCCCTTCCTTTTCCTGTACTCACCCCACAAGGGAAAAGGAAATTGTGCTTCTAAGAAGAGTGGTTTTCTTCTTAGTCTGCTATTGAATGACATTTCTGACTAGAACTTTCTATATTTGTGTTTTTGAACCTGTGTGACATAAACATTTAAGTTTCTGTAGTGAAATATTGTCTCATATCTTAGATGCCCAATCAGTCACTGCAGATATCATCTTATCAGGAGGCCCATTCTGCGCAATACAGTGTCATGACACCTATTTTGAAATTCCTTCCCATTGAATATTAGGCGCCATCCCAGTTGTCTTTTCAGTGCCTGCTGAAGACCTTCCTCTTTCAACAAGAATTTAAGGAGAGCTCATTTCCAGTTGGTTTCTGTATTGGACTTGTTTTTATATATTGGAATTGTTTTGTTGCTTGTGTGTTTGCAGCCCTGGTCTCCATTGGGAGGAAGGGTGAGGTATAAATTTAATAAATAATAAATAATAATAATAACTTATACTTCTTTTTTGACCATTTCCCCTTCAATTCTTATATTTATTCCATTTCCCCCTGTACATTCAATAATACCAACATATGATTGTGTTGATGATTACTGAATGGCTGAATATTTGAAGAGTATTGGGCTGGGTTGTTTTTAATGAAAAATGTGAGAAGACCTTCCAACAAGGGCTCATCCAATGTTGTCCTTTTTTATAGTTTCATCAACTCATGAAGATGATGTTCTGTGGATTGCCATGGCAGGAACACATCAGATCTGGGCACTCATGTTAGAATGTGGAAAACTACCGAAAGGAAGGTAAGCTAGAATGTTAGACATGTTTAGAAACACCAGGCCAATAATGGGTGGGTGGAATGTGTAGACTTACTAGGTATAGTTCGAGTGTCAGAATAAGACCAGGGAGACCAAGGTTCAAATCCTCACTTGACCATGAAGATCAGTGGGTGACCTTGAACCAGTCACTACATCTCAGTCTAACAACAGGATTGTAGGGATTAAATGAAGAGGAGGAGGAGGAGGAGAACCGTGAGCTCCTACAGAAGAAGGTGGGATATAAATGCAATAAATATTAGGCATCACATCTTGCTGTACTTTTCTGTATTTACATTTCTCCATCTTTTGCTTCATTATCCAAACAGTTCTGATCAATCAGCACTTGGTTCATAAATGCTCTTGCTTCCACCGAAGCAAGTGTATTTGTTGGTCAGTAGTTTTTGCTTAGTATACTTAGAAAAGCATAAACAGAGGGGAAAGGGGACAAGGCCTGCTTGTTTTCCCAGTGAAGCATTTGAAGCAGGAGAGAAAACTGATTACCTCAAAATGAGTAAAAAGCAAAAAAGGAAGGTTTCCCCCTTTAAGTATCCAAGTTATTCACAGTAAGTGATAGTATGGGGGAAAAACAGACTGCGTGTTCAAATAACAAGGTAGAACCCATGGAAATGCCCATTTCTCCCCTTTAGTGACTTGAAAAAAGGAACCTGCCTTCGGTTTGCTGGGAGTGGAAATGAAGAGAACCGAAATAATGCATATCCCCATAAAGCAGGCTTTGCCCAGCCTTCTGGTCTGACTGTTGCTGCTGAAGAGCCTTGGAACTACCTTTTTGTAGCAGACAGTGAAAGCAGCACTCTGCGCACCATTTCTCTGAAAGATGGAGCTGTGAAACACCTTGTAGGAGGAGAAAGAGACCCAATGGTAAGTTCTTGCTGTTTGTTCCTGTTCCTACTCAAGTTTGATTTAACAAGATGCCCAATAGGGATGTGGTGTGTAAACTTATTATAGCACTTGATCACTGTGGTAGTGCTCCTTCCCTGTTATTCCAGAATGTTAACCTCATATAGCTGATTTAACTGCTAATGCTTTTATTGTGCTTTTAATTGATAGTTTGAAGATCCATCATGTTCAGCAAGAATCTTAGTTTATTTGCGCTAAATAATAATAATTGAACCAATTTAATAATTGTATAATTCTCTCTCTGTATATATATATGCTTTTGAAAAAAGAATTTATTTGCCTTCGGTGATATTGATGGAGCTGGAATAAATGCAAAGCTACAGCATCCCTTAGGAGTAACCTGGGACAAGAAAAGAAATCTCCTTTATGTTGCAGATTCCTATAATCATAAGGTGAGCCTGCATGGTGCATTATTTAAAACTGCTTGAGTTTCATTTCACCAACACTACTACAAAGTTAAGTTTTAGGTGTTCAGTAAAACTGTTAGTTGGAGTTAAGAAACAAATTATAATTCATTTATGTATGTTATAACAGGTTTTTTTTGTCAACTTCTGCTTTTTTGTGGAAGATGCTTTTGATTATATGGAGAGGCAATAAAGGTGCTAAGGCTGTATTCCCATTTGCTTATATGGACCCCCAAGCCAAGTCCAACGTTGGGAATCAGATTTGTGACACCTAAAAGCAATAAAGCTGTGGACAGAGTGGTAGAAGGTGGCTGGCTAATTTCTTTTCTAATGTTTACTGAGAAAGTTCTGAACAATTGCACAGATGACTGAAAAATTGCATTCCCTCTTCTCTAGGTTTGCCTGATGATGCAAACCCAAGCTCTTTCTCATGTACTTAGTCATGTCCATAAAAAGCTGCTGAGTCATTGTAAACATGGGTCACTTGTAGATATTACTGATGTGGTGATCCAGATCTATGGTAATGATGGCTGCAGAGAGCCCTGTAAAACATGTCAAAGATAGCTGGCGCAGTCATATGCACTTTGACAAAAAATGCTTTGACAAAAAATGGCACATCTTCAAGAAACATGAAAAGGGTTTGCATTTTGGCACTTCTTTTCCTGCAGAAATTTTGGGAGTCACTTATTAATAGTATCTTTTTCATAAACACTTAAGAAAGTGACTTTATAAGTATGTCAAATCCCTCATACTGCTAATAAATAACACTTGAATATCTTAATTATTACTGGCCTATAATGCTGTAGCAAGCAAGAAGTTTGTTCAGTGGCCCAGTTTACACTTCATTGTAGATGTTAGTTGCTGGTATACCATGAACATGCCTGACTTGGTTGTTTTGGTCCTCCCTGTTCAAATTGAGAGGAAACAACAATGAATGAGTTAGCATTATGTCTGAACCAGGGGTCGTTGTTTGTTTTGGTCCCGACAAGCCACAGTCAGTAAGTCAAGAATAAACCTTGTCTACAGATCATAGTATGTTGGGAGTGAAACAAACCACACTTCTTGATACTGGAAATACAAGCTCCCACTCTGTGAAGGCAGGACAGGCAGGCAGCATTTTCTCTAATTGTGACACTGTTCCCTACTTTACTTTCTTCAAAATTTTATCATCAGTAGTATAGTAAAAATAAGTACACGATTCTGTTTTATTATTTACAAAGTTCCTTGTGCTTTGCCTTTGTCTAGATTAAATTTGTAGATCCCAAGATGAAGAATTGTGCTACATTGGCAGGTACAGGAGAAGCAAGCAATGTCATCGGTTCCAGCTTCACTTCCTCAACTTTCAATGAACCCGGAGGCCTGTGTGTTGAAGACGGAGGTCGTTTGCTCTATGTTGCAGACACAAACAATCATCAGATTAAAGTGCTAGATTTAGAAACCAAAATTGTTTCACTGGTAAGCCACCTTTATAGAACTTTATCTGGGACTTTCAACTTTGGATAAGTTATTATAGTTTGGTCATCTTTCATCAGATATCCTAATGCTACTGCCCAGATAGCATAAAGCATAGCAGTAAATGCATTCTCATAGTGTTTTATAATGATCTGGCAAACTGAACAGCTTTTGTGTTAAGGATATCCTGTTAGGCTTAAAATAAATGTTCCATCTGTTTTAAGAGGTTGGAAAGGACACTAGTGCAATTAGAGTAAGCAGAGATACAGAAACTTCAGCTTTCATTGCACTGTTCAACTTGGATTCAAGTCTCATCTTAGTCTAAAGAGCAGCCTTAAGCACCATGTATTCTCTCTGCTTGATGTCTGTGCCCTCCTCCCCCAGTAAAATGGAATAGGTCCTGCTTGTGAAAATAAATGAGATAAAACATTTATAAAACATGTGCAAAGTGCTTCAAACTATTTATCAAATAAATAGGCCTTCTGAGCATGGCACAGTAAGTTAACAGACTCCTGCAGATCAGGTGCTTTCTTCTAAAAACATAGGAATTACACCAGTTCTCATGATACTAAACTCAGGAATTGCTCCTTCCCATCCCCATTACTAACTAGGCCAGTTTCTCACTGACATTCATGTCCAGCTCATAATGGTCTTGATCCAATACTAGAATTTCACTTCCCCAGTGAAGTCTGGGAACTTAAGGATAAAGTCTTCACCATTGCCAGCTCTCCTTGCCACTTCAAAGGAAAAAGAAAAGACTGGGTCTAGCAGAACTCCAAAGCAGCACACTTGTTCCTTCGTAGGAAGTACAACCCGCCTGGAACCAGAGTCTGGACACCGCATCAGATACCCAGAAACAGCAATATAAGACTTGTCCAAGGCAGAATTAGTCATCATAGGGTGATAGTTAAGGCTTACTCAGAGTAGACTCATTAAAATGAATGAACATGCTATGTTTGGTCCATTACTTTCAGTGGGTCTACTCTGAGTAAAACTTAATTACCACCTTTTAACTTTCATTAATTTCTCGATGGCCTTGCACATACCAGCTTTTGCATAGGGCTGGGATATTAACACCATACAACAACTCTGGTCCTACAAGATTACTGATAGGCATGAATTTGTCACATAGTTTCTAGGATGAGGATCAGGTTTCCAACCCTTATCCTCTTGGTAAAGTATCAGCTTTCCATCATGGTGAAAGAAGCATCAAATGACAAACTTATTTCCAAATTGCTTTGGTTTAATAAATTAACAGCTTTAACATGGGAGATGAAGAACATCAATGACAAACTTATTTGCAAATCTGCTGTGACGTTCAACATAAAGATTAACCGATCAGCATTTTAAACATGGACCAGGGTAAGTTTCAAATAGCTTCAGTACTCCCCACTGTTCTCGCTGGAAGCGTCTCTGAGCCCTCCCTCCTGCTCGCATTCCCTCAGAGATCCACTCCTCCCCCGGCTGGTTCCTGCTTCAGCTGTTGAGTCTCTCCCAGCCTCCCTGAGCCCCTCCACCACCTGTTCCTCCGATGGCAGTTCCCTGACATCCACCTCCCCTCCAGGGCCCCCTTCACCCCCTCCCGTTTCCTCTCCTCTGGGAGGTGAGGAGGTAAAACCCCAAAAGGAATCTTCATCTTCAGACGTCTCAAACATTTCCCTCCATCGGTCGCCGTCCCGGCTCGCTGAATCCTCCTCCTCCTCGGACTCTGTGAACCCCTCCAACTCCTCTTCTTCGTCGGTGGTGGCAAAGTATTCCCTCCGGAACCTCACTACAGGCTGAGGCTTGCGTGGGAACCTCTGATGAAAAGTTTCTATTAAAACCTCGTCATTGACATCCTCTGCCCTGACCCAGGTGTTTTCCGACTCCGGTTCCCCTTCCCACATTACCAAATACTCTACTTGATCTCCCTTCCACCTGGAATCGAGGATCTCCGCTACATGGTAGCTTTGTTCCCTTTCCTCCATTGCTGGTCCCCGAGTGACCCTCCCTTCTCTGTCCCCTTTATACAGTGACAGCAATGACCTGTGGAAAACTGGGTGCAGCTTCATGTGGTTCGGTAACCGGAGTCTGAAAGCCACTGGGTTGACCTGTTGTGTGATTTCAAATGGGCCCAATCTTTTGGGTCTTAACTTTTTACAACCCCCTTTGAAGGGTAACCCTTGGGTTGACAGCCACACTTGGTCCCCCACCCTAATGGTTTCACCTTCTCTCCTGTGTTTGTCTGCCTGCCTCTTATATTCCTCCTTGGCCCTGTCTAAGTTAAGTTGGAGCTGGCGATGGATCGCTTCCATTTCTTCTACGAACTGTTCGGCAGCTGGAACGCTCCATCTCTCCCCTTCCCCCCCCTGGGAAAGCCCTGGGATGGCACCCGTAATTCGCCAAAAAGGGGCTCATCCCCGTGGACACGTTCTCCGCATTGTTGTAGGCAAATTCCGCCAATGCCAACTTCTCCACCCAATCATTCTCTCTGTCATTGACATAACACCTCAAATATTGCTGGAGGATGCCATTGGCTCTTTCCGCCTGCCCATTGGTCTCAGGATGCCGGGCAGTCGAGAAATTAACCTCTACCTGCAGTAAGCTCATGAGCTTCCTCCAGAACCTGGAAGTAAATTGTTTCCCTCGGTCAGAAACCACCCTCAAGGGGGCACCATGCAACCTAAACACATTTTCTACAAACAATTTAGCTGTTTCTTCTGCCGTGACAGCATGTGAGCAGGCTATAAAGTGTGCCATTTTGGTTAACAGGTCTACCACAACCATGATGGCTGTTTTCCCTCTGGACCTTGGCAGATCAGTCATAAAATCTATGGCCACTGCTTCCCATGGTCTTTCTGGTGTGGGTAGCGGTTCTAATAACCCTGCCGGCGCCCGCCTTTCCCCTTGTTCAGTGTACTTCACATAAAGAACTATAGCCAATATTACAGCCACCTTCAGGTTTTGACTCTGCCTTCCTTACATATAAGTATTTTTTCCAAGTTGTGCCAGTTATTTTTCTGATAATTTGGGTTTTGTTTTATATACCTCTATATATTGTTGTACACTGTCATGATATATGAGTGAGTAGTTTATGAATATTTTTATAAATAAAATTTTGTATGGTAAAACTATTCAAAGGAATGTATTTATCCATATGACACTCATCAGCTGCTACTGATACTTCCTTAACAAATTCCTTAACAAATTCAAGTGAATTTTCTTGAACTAATGGAGCTAAGTATCTGTTTAGACTATAAAGCATTTGCATCTAAACAAGTCAAAACTGCCAAGAGAAGTAATATTTATTTACTCGTTTGTTTGACATGAAAGCTGACAAATACACTGGAAAAGTATAAACTGTGCCAGATTCTGTAAAATCTCCTTTATAATAATTTGTAACAAGCAGCTTTTGTTTAAAACATTGGCCATGTCATCTTAAGATAAAGAAAAAACAGTATTTGAATGGGTAGCCATCTTGGTGGCCTCCAGATGTTGTTGGACTACAGCTCCCATCCTCCTTTCCACTGGTCCTGCTAGCCAGGGATGATGGGAATTGTAGTCCAACAACATCTGGGAGCCCAAGACTGAGAAAGGCTGCTTTATGGTGTTGGGAATCCAGCTCAACTTATGCATTTTCACTGCCTATCAGAAGTTTCCCCAGGCATTGTAATGGAGTGTGGCACCTGTTCTTGGCCTTGGTTCTCTGAAATAAGGGATCAGGCCTGAGGAAGTTTGGTAGATTTCACAGTGGTTGTTATTATTCTATTTTATGTACAGTAACAATATCAAACTGTTGGCTGTGACTTTTCCAAGTCTTAGAATATGACATTATACTTCAAAACAAATGAACTTTCCTTTCTGTTTCTTTGATAGCTACCTCTCCAGAATGCCAACACCGGAGACATTCAGGATGGTCCATCTGTGCAAAAGACTGATAAGACAAAATTACCAAAGCTGCCTAAATCTGCTCCAAATCTTCAGCTACCTTCACTGACTGTGAGCCATGGCCAGGCACTTCAATTTGCACTGAAACTCAGCCTTCCTCCAAATACCAAGCTGGCTGAAGAAGCGCCCAGTTCATGGTTTCTCACATCAGAAGGTAAGGGGCCTCAGTTGCTTTTTAGTGTAAATATCTATCACAGTACATTTATTTTGAAATCAGTAGGCTATGTCAAAAAAGGTAAATCACTATGTAGTTTTTCTGTGTAATAGTTTTGTAGATTTAACGTAAAAGATCCCGTACATATTGGATAAAACCAGATTCTGGTCAGACCTATTTGCTTTCATTCAAGATGAAATTGCTGTCGTTTCATCATCAGAATTGTTATGGGCCATAATGTTATCTTCTAATGTTTCAGATAAATTGCCAGTTTAGGACTGGATCCAATGGTGCCCTTCTGCTAGTGGAAAGTTTCTCCCGCTCACAAAAAAAAACCCTTTTTGACAAAGCAGAAGAGCACTGGGTGAGGAAGGTGACCCTAGATCTGGGGGAGTTTCTAGATTTGCTTAAACTCTTTTGTAAGACTTTGTACAGGCGCATTATAAAGACATTTATGGACCACTAGGGTTTATACCCCACAGCCCATCTTTTCCATATTCACTGTTTCTTATACTGTAACACTTATATGTTCTCATATTCCATTGCAAAAAGTGTGCAAAAGAACAGCACTGGTGCTTTCTCCCCTTCTGTTCTTGATTCTTTGAATCCCAGCCCACATATTTTGCTTACCAAAATATTATTTTATGATTGAGGTTTCACAAAAGAAGAAAAGACATCATTCAAATTAAGATAAAACTCTTAACATAGTGACGGGATACCTTTTTTTCTAGGCAGTGAATGGCTGCTTCATGAACAGGACACATACGGAGAAATTGAGGACATTTGTAAACAGCCTATAATCCCATTGCGAATACCCATGAACTGCCTATCATCTGAAGTTGTACTGTCAATCAAAGTGTGCCTCTATTACTGTAGCAAGGACAGCAGTGCCTGCATGATGAAAGGAGTCTCATTCAACCAGACTTTCCACATAGCTAATTCAAGCCAAGGTAGAACATCTCTGATTGAGCTTATATATGCATTTTAACTAAGCCAAAGCAAACGAAAAAGCACTTATTTATGTTTTATTTACTACTGCCTACTTTTAAAACAGGAATAAATTGTTTGTTGATTTGCGATTTTCCCCTTCCCCCACCTTTTCACTTCTGGTCTTCCAGCAGAGTGTAACAAATTTAGACATGTAGTTTGGTGCCAAGTTCACCTAGAAAGCTTGTGGGAAATAACTCTGATAAGTGTGATCAGATGAAGTAGAAATACATTGTGCTGAATCATGCAAAGTGTAATAAAATTCTAGTCCTTTATTTCTTGCAGCATAAGCAATAAATGCAGAAGTGGGTTTGGGTCATTGTGTGAATAACGATAATCTTAAAAAAGATCCCAATACTGTAATATCGTTTAAGAAATTTGCTATGAAGTATGGTCAAATTCATTTGGGGCTAAATAAAAGCCTAAGTGTATTTTTCTCCCGGAATAAATGGTTGAAATGTGGATATATATTTTTCTTGATTAAAAACACTATATTTCCCCCATAATATTTTGTATTTAAGGAACTGGTGTATTCTGAAATGATCCTAAAGTGAGCTAGGCTTATTTTTTATGCAAATAAGCTCATTTATATAAAAGTAACTTATGCCTTATGTTTTCTGGATAACAATTTATGAGAGGTCCATGTTTGTTTTCTATTACCTATCTACTTAGCAGTGGCATTCTGTATTTTTTTCGCTAACTGCCATGTCTTTTCACATATAATGGTGAAAACTTCAGTATTTAATTATTTTAGGCTAAAGTTATTATTTCCTAATATTAAGATTTCTTGTTCAGATTTTTGGCAGTGCTGTGTTAAAACCAATGGACATTAACCACACTTTGTATCTATGCCAGACTTTATTCAAAGCTATGTTCATTTTTCCTTAGCACCATAATGCTTTACAAAAGGCATTTCAGTTTTGATAGCATCACTTAGATTTATATGTTACTTTGAAAGTCTTGGGGCATCATTATCATTGATTTTTAAATGATACTCAAGTTCTTCCAAGAGGCCATTAAAATCATTGTTCACCAAAATTACTAGTTGCTGGAGTCTATGATGGATTTAACACAAAGCTCAGTGGAAGTAAATCAATAATCTTTGCATTTGGTTGCCACCAGCCTTACATAAAGAAAGAAAAGCAAAAATGTTAAACCCGAATAAACACAATTGTAAAAAGCTTTTCAAAATAAGCATCTGATCTATGTTTGAAGAGACAGATCTGGATACAAATATGCCCATGATGTGCACTGAAGTGGTATATCTTCCTGTGCAAAAGCTATGAAAAATCACATTTAAGATACTTGGAGCAGCATGTTAATTGTAATGACCATTCTTCTGAACTACTTTACAGCTTCACCAACACTCGGAGGTTAAATGGCTAGAATACTGGTCTGAGACTTTTACTGCTCTAAAACTATCTTAAGATGTTGCTGAAGAATTGTCTAATGTTTGTGTTTGAAGGGGAAACCATATGGTGTGGTATGGCTTTTTTTCCTCTTCACAATCACTTGCCAGCATAGCAGAGAGTTAAAAGGTCACTCTAATACCAAAAATAACAGTATTCCTTCCAGCACTGTCTAAAAATTGAATAGTTCAGCAGCCTTCCTGGCCTATCATTCAGGCCAGGTTTCGGAACTCTTAAGTAAGTTCGTGCATGTGACAAAAAAATAATAGATACAGAATTTTATTTGCTTTTTGAAAGCTTTTTTTATACAGAGAGAAAAATGCTCTATTCCCGAGTGACAAGACAAGGGCAAGTGATTAGTAACTCATTTTTTTTAATAATGTAAATTGTTCCTGCCTTTTTACAATGCTCTTTTTAATTCTTTGTTGGCTAAAATCCAGGAACCAGTTCACACGTTTTCAATCACTAGGTTTAAAAAAGATTTCTGTTTTTCAAAGAACTCTCCACTAAGTCAAACTGTTCTCTTAGCTCAGGAAATTAATGGGCTCTGTCCATTCCCAGTGGACAGGATACTAAAAATATTGATTTAAGCAATGCTGTGTACCTGCAAAGAAGTTTTTGTTGGCTATCAGTGGAATTAGTATTATTGAAATGCAACATATGTGCACTGCAGTATTTAAAATCTAGACTTGAATTTTTGTTTAATCTCTCGGTATCTATTTTATATACATCTATGTTTAGGGACTAACAAGCTGCACTGGAGCTTTTTAAATGTCTTTGCTGTTTTATAAACTTTTTCAAACCGAGAGGCTAATATAGGTTAACAGCCAGACGTCCTAGTATATGATTATGAGTACATGCTCATAGAATTCTAATCTTCTTATTCAAACCTTTTTTTAAAAAAAAAAGTTATTAGTAGAATCTAAAAATAACTTTCTTCTGGACTCAATGTTAGTTTGCCTCTTTTTTATGAGTAAAGGTGAATTTATTGCTTTTGTGTAAAAGCCATTAAGGGTAGGTGATAATTTGCCAGTTCCTTTCTACAAAAAGGCCAAATGTTGCATTATCTTCTTAAGTTTACTTATATTTATTTTACTGCATTTGATTGGAGACTTAGTTTATAGTGTGGAAAATAATTTTAGATTAGTGGTATAGAATGGATTCAGAGTATAATTTAGTAGTTATTAATATTAAGTTAATACATTTATATCTAGCCCTGCTTCCATCATATAACTCAAGATGGGATACATGTGGTTTCCTAGCGACCTTTACATAAGCATTCCGGACTTGTTGAGTTGTAGCAAGGTGGCTGCATCGCTAACACTTTTGAAAAAACAGTTTAAGCAGGCCACTTTAAGTAGTCACTAAAGTGATTCCTTCTGGATTTGATTACAACTCAAATCATTTCTGACCTTCATCAATGTTGGCTGGGGCTGATGGGAGTTGGAAGTCCAACAGCAGCTGGAAGGCACTACATTGGCTATTCCTAAACCAGACATCAGGGTACTATGCTATACATGTCTTTTCAGAAGTAAGTTCAACGGAGATATTCCAAGGTAAGTAAATATAGGATTTCAGCCTTCATACCATTCCCCCACATTGCAAAACCAGCTATATTTTTCAACCACTTTCTTTCTGATCAATTAGCTTTCAGCATTGACCTTGCAGTTGTTGTGGTTTAAACATTTTCAAAGGCTGGCAGTCATTTGTCAAATCTTAGAAAAGTAAGGACTCCAGTTTGGAATGTTTGTGTAAGTGTAGTTTATTGATTATTTCATTTACCTCTTTTGATGGCATACCGATTTTAAACATGTCAGAATGATTGTCCAGCGAAAAGCCCTAGAGCAAAAGGGGGGGGGATTTTTCCCAAATTGTATCTACCTACCACACTGATAGTTATAAGTAAAGAAGTAAAAAAACGGCAGTACACTTGTACAAATATTCTGTCAACTTCAGAACATTACACTGAAACAAAATCAATAGAATGTGTGTTGCTGAGCTGTTATCCCCACCCTCCTATTTTAGCTTCTCCTTGACATGAAACTGAATAAACAGGTTCATGTTGGCCTGGTTCAGACATCACGGCGTACCATAGCTTAATGTGATGAGAATGAACCACAGTGAGCCCCAGAATCACATATATCCCTCCTCTTCTGTAGTGGCCATGAGCAGGAATTCAGAAGCTTTTGCTTCTGGCTGAGATTAACTGCAACTTGTTTTGATATCCAAACCTGATAAAGTGTTGTTAATGCTAATAACAACCTAACTTAAAACCATAGTTTATGAAGCTGGCTGGCTTAAGCAAACAATAGTTTACATTAAGCAGATTTATGGTTTGGACAACCTGCTACACTATCTGATTGGAAATAGAAGCTTTTGATCTCATGATCATGCTGGAGATTATGGGGAGCACATGAACCTGAGGCTCACTGCAGGTTGTTCACCTTATGCTAAACTTAACCAAAAAGCAACTATGCAGGTGCTTTAAAAATGCCACTGATCACTTAAGCTGTTTTTCACTTTGGGACATCCTATTTGTGTGTGTTTTCTGTTTATATCTCTATAATTTGCATTTGTTAACAGAGTAGACTCGAAGTATAGTTTGTTTTATTAAAAGACATTTAAACTCTTTCAAGGCACCTGGACTTTGTCAGATAAATGACATAAAATGAAAATAAAGTTTTGATGCTACAGAAGAGGAAGTAAAATTGATAGCTTTCCTTTAACTTACTTAACTTTCCATTAAACTAGAGTAAGCTGAATCAAAATAAACTGGCTGAGGTCCTTAATTAAGATAGGTCTGGAGCTGATTTTGTTTTTGTGTTTTACTAGCATATGCATTAGCAGAAAATCTCAAATTGAAAGTCATATTCCAGAAGGCAGAAAATTATGTAAGATGAAGGGGGAAAATATGATTTAACCTCAGAGTGAACATCTTGAACTGTTGTTTTACTGTAATTGATTTGTTTGGTGTGCTCCTGCTTTTTCATGATTATTCTGATGCACAAGAAGATATTCTTATAGTGACTTAATAACAAGCATAATGTGTGTTTGAGCTAATGCAGTTTAATTCTGTATGTGATATAATGCAATTAAAGGGCTTTTAACATCCCATCCCATTTTCAGCTTTTCACTTTTTGTACTTCATATGCAGTTTTTGTTTCCTTTTTTATTTCTTCACTTTATCTTGTTTAAATATTTTCAATAAAATGTGAATATTAACCAACAAAAAATTTGAAGCTTTGATACTAAGAACTTTGGGATCCATGGGACACAGACAACTTCTGTCTAGTGATTTTATTTTAAATTTAGATTGTTTTATTTTTAGATTTAAATTATATTCAGGTTTTAAAGCTGCCCACTGTTGCTGGTACTTTAGTGAGTTGTGAACGTTAACAGGTCCTGTTGGTTTAAGTTGTAGGAGTTCTATTTTCTACTACCTGAAACAAATCAAGCTTCCTACAGCTAGCGCTGCTAGGGTATGGAGAACCTACTTTTCCGATATTTCTAGATTTTAATTTGCCTCACTTCAAGATGCTTTATTACTTCCTCTTCCTGTAACTTGAATACATTTCTCAAAGGAGTGCAAGATTCTTTCAGCTTCTGTCAGAGTCAGGTTTGAATTGTACTGAGGAGATGCACACAGAGCAACAGATCATCTTTCGCTAAGATGGAACACTCCAGTTGAAATTCCTCATTGCAGAGGGTTGGACTAGATGACCTTCTAGCACTACAACTTTATGATTCTATGGTTCAGAGTTAATCCCAGAATATATTTAAGTAAACTGTCGAATGTGCCTTTGGAAATGTAATCTCTGCAATAAGGGTCTTTTAAATTTATATAAAAGGAACAGTCAAAGAAAGTAATATGTTTGAAATATTTGATAATTATTTTACAACAAAGATAGTTAATAATAGAAAAGCTATATTAAACTATATAATAAAACCAAGAACTAAAACTGTTTGAGTGTTTTATTGTAATTCCAAATCTTTTGATCTGTTGTTATATTTCTCTTTTGTATGTAAACAAAAAAAGTTAAAAAATAAGTAACAAACATTTGAAAAATGTATTAAATCGGCCCAATCCAGAGAAATATGTACATGGCGGTGGATTTTCCAATTGCAGGCATTCTCATGTCCCCTCAGCAACAATTAGACCACCTGTTTGAGGTACAGGGAGCCTTGGTTCAGTTTGCTAAGTCCCAAAGAACTTAACAGTACCGCAAAAGTGTATTGAGTGCATTTGACTGGTGCTGTGTTTGCATATAATAGGTTGGTAATGGGAACTGTTTACTTTCTCAGCCCACCACAAGGGCTGCACACATGGCACCCATTTTCACAAATATAGTTTCTGATCCATGCAGCCTATTAATGTATGAGCATCATTACTTGAAATTGTATAAATCAAGGAGAAATGGAAAAGCTATGTAAATAACTTTTTTTTAAAAAAGAGAGAGAGTGGGGGGGGGATACCCAGAAGCACAATTTGTATGTAGGTTGTTTTTTTGTTGTTGGTTTTTTTGGTTAATCCTTCTAAAATGTCTTATTAAATTTCTATACCGCCCATCATCCAAATATCACGGGGCAGGTTACACATCCAACAGCAACAATAACATGGTGTGTGGACCTGGGGAGGGGTGTCCAAAAGATGGGAAGAGAAGCTCCCTTCTGTCCTCTTAAACTACAGCTGCTTTCCTGTCTCATGGCAGGGCTTGCATATTTATGGGCAGGCACCAAGGTGAGTGGTCCTTCCTTAGGCTGCCCACAGCTGTGTTCCATTCAGCTGCACTCCACACCCAGTTCCAGGTACAGCAGGTTTCTTGGTGGTTCTTGCCATTGGGGGCTGGAGCTTACTGGTCATCTGTTCTTGGTTGGCACAATATTGTTCATTTTCCCATAAATGCTTGGGTTTACTGTTCTCCTCAAATATACTAGAATTCACCTTTTTGCATTCAGGGAATGATACCCTGTAAACATACATATGTATAACTTCTAGATGCATCTTATCAAACCTAGTGGAAGTGGCCTGCTATCAACAGTACTCCCTATTTACATTTACTCCCCATTTACAGTGCAATTCCTACGCATATTTTCTCAGAAGTAAGGCTGACTGAGTTCAGTGAGATTCACGGCTAGATACAGAATTACAGCCTTAAATGCAAGAGAAGCCTAGAAAGTTGTCCAGTGTTGAAGGTGTGGGTCTATTTATTTTTAGTTGTACACTGAAAATGCCTTAATCAAATCTCAGCACATCCCCTTGGGCAAACCAGCCTCTCTCAGTCTTAGCCCATATGGGGTGCCTCTTACTCTCCTACTTGGATTGTTATCACGATATCTGTGGGGCACTTTAAACATGTAAAATAATTGAGCATTTGTAAATGCTTGCATTAATCAGGCAGCTTGGAGCCTCTCATGTTTCTACAGTAATTAATACCAGTAATACATTTACTAATTATTTTCTAAAACTAATACAGATAATCATAAAAATCTAAAGCAAATTAGATATCATCGAAAAAGCCAGAGAAAGGTAGACTCAGCTGTGTTAACTATACATACAAAGGTAAACGTGAAGGACACTCCTTGTAATAGTGATGAGGTGAATGTATTTTATTTTAAAAAAAATTGCATTGATTTTGAACTCCACAGTACTGACCCATCCGTCATCTTATCTGAATGTCCATTTTCTATCAAGGACAGCTTCCCCATTATGAAATGAGTGCTTATCAATATCCTTGCTCCTTTTAAATCCTCTTGTTGCACTCCTGAGGAAAATTTAGCAGAACAAGAACAGCAGAATATTGCCTGTAAGGCAGATTTTGAGCACAATTCAAAATGGCATGAGTGGACTGAAAGTAGGGGCAAGGCATTGCAACACTTGGATTCTGTGTTTCATGTAAGATGCAGCAATCTTAAAGTGAAGGATTATCAGAATTAAAAACATTTATAAAACTTGTGGTTCGTCAGCAATCTGCCAAGTAAATCGTTTTACATGCAAATCACAATTTCAAACTGCGATGCAAGAGAAAAATTGATTATCTGCCCAGGAAATGTAATATCCACCAGTCTCTAGATTCCTCTGTCATTACCAAACAGAAACGCTTCGTGATATATACACTCCCAAGACTAATTGCAATACTATTTTGTGCTGCTTAATTTAGATCTGTCCCCGTATCCCATATATGAAAAAAAAGTACCACAGTATTTGAAAACATTTCAGAAATGCCAGAATGGCATGCTACAATAAACACTTAGATTTGAAGTCCATTTTTTTGGGAGGGGGATATAGCTTTTCTGTGGAAGGCATTAAATTAGGTAAAACTGGTATTTTTTCTAAACCTCTAACCTATTAAAATTCCGCAGCTTCTTCATGGTTCCTGCCTGAGCAAAGCTAACTCCTATCCAACAAAATACCAGAAAGATTTTCTGAATATTTTTTAAAGCACATGCCGTTTTCAGTCACTGTTCAGGTTTGATGTTTATAGGGTCTTTCCTCTTATCTTTGCAGGTAAATACTGGGCCAGGAGATTAGGAGATCCTTATGTTTATCGCAGCTCCTTGGCCATCTAAAATTTAGGCAAACAAATTAAGGGGATTAAGAGTCCCAAATGAGAGGAGAAATCTGCCATTTCTGTCTCTCTGTTGAGTGTTCAGAAGTAAACAAGTTGATGCATCCCAAAGGGGTGGGATTAAGTCACCAGTTTAGCAATTTCATAAGCAATACAGAGTTCAATTGAAAGAGTATCTTTCCAGGTTTTGGCCCCTCAAGCATCTAGCGATGTTTCTCTCTACAGTTCGATTTTTTAAAACCAGCTGCTTAATCTTTTGCTTGTCAAGATTGTTGAGGAATGCAGAACTACTAGCAATATTCAGTTTGAAATGCTAAAAGCTCCCTAGAGGCTGAGCCTATACACAAAGGTCTGATTCGCTACCACTGTGGGCCATTTGGTGATAAGGTTGTGCAGCTCATTCATGGAGAGCTGTGTATAAACTTTAGATGCCACCTTGTACTTTTCAGTGACATGAAACCTAAAATACATGCCGGTTTACAATAAGTATAAAGTGGCAAATATACAGGTAAAAGGTAAAGGACCCCTTACAGTTAATTCCAGTCGCAAACTACTCGGGGGTTACAGCACTCCTCTCGCTTTACTGGCTGAGGGAGCCAACGTTTGTCCGCAGACAGTTTTTCCAGGTCATAGCATGACTAAGCCACTTCTGGTGAACCAGAGCAGCGCAGGGAAATGCCGTTTACCTTACCGCTGGGGCGGTACCTGTTTATCTACTTGCACTTTGACATGCTTTTGAACTGCTAGGTTGGCAGGAGCAGGGACCAGGCAATGGGAGCTCACCCCATCGTGGGGTTTCGAACCACCAACCTTACGATTGGCAAGCCCCAGGCTCAGTGGTTTAGATCACAGTGCTACCCGCGTCCCTATAAAAAAATATACAGGACTCGCTAACAAAAAAAATAAACAATGGAAGAGCATCACGCAACATTTAGAGATGGGGATAAAACAATTACAAGTAGGAAAAAGAAGAAAAGCTTACAGTATTCATCAAACACAAAACCTATAAAGTAAACCAAACAGACTGGTAAAGAAAAAGAGAAACAAAATATAATTGGTTCTTTACGAAATTCAAAACATCTCAAAACCATACTGTATGTTTGGGAGAACAAAGTTCTTTTGTCAATACTCAGGACAGAATCCAATTTACTACAAAATTATTTCATTTTTATCCTGCGTCTTTTGACCTCAGCAAATCTGTCAACTAGAATATTTTAAAGGGGTGGAAATGAAAGGCAGAGGAGACGGGAGCCAGAGGCAGACAAGAACCCATTAGGGAGAAACAAGAGCTTCACAGTCTCAATTCTTAATTTGTTACGTCCCTGAAAATTAAGCAATGGCCATCTCTATACAAGAAGAAATAAACCTGTGATACAATGGGAAAGCCTTTAAATAGCCTTTTGTGCTTTTTTTATCTTGACTCATTCAAACTTGTGCTCTGGAATAACCTTACCAAAAATCTTATGTCTCTGGCTCCAAATGGTATTCTGTACTCCAGAGAAAACACTTTTGTTACAATAAAATAATAACCTTATCCCATAATTCCCT